GAAAAAAAAAAAAAAAGCCATTTCACATAATATTAAAATGGGAATAAGTTTAAGCAAGGTGGTGACAACTGAAAATTACAAAACACTGCTGAAAAAATTATAGAAGGCCTAAATAAATGAAAAGGTATCTGTGTTTATGGACTGTACAACCTAATATTTTTAAGAAGACTATATTAGTCTGTTTTCTGTTGTTACAACAAAATACATGAAGCTGAGTGATGTTTAAAGAAAAGAAGTTTACTGAGTGTTATGATTTATAGCTAGATGTTCCCCCAAAGCCTCATGCACACATAGGCGCAGCTTTTGAGAGGTGATTGGGTCGCGGGGACATGATACTCACTAGTGGAGTCCACTGATGAGTTTACAGCTCCATGTGATGCTGGGAGGTGAGGCTGGGGAGAGGGGATGGGTCCACGGAAGCATGGCTTGGGAAGGTGGTCTCCCTTCTCTCTTGATCTCTGCTGTGCTTCCTGCCACCACACTGTAAGTTGTTTCTCCTCTGCCATGCCCAGCTACCATGCCACCTGCCCACAGTGCCAGTCAACCACGGTCTAAAATCTGTACAAGCTGTAGGCCAAAGTAAACCTCTTCTTCCTTAAATTGTGGGTGTTGGGTATTTGTCCCAGCAACAAAGAAAATAAGACACTGAGCTCACAGTTCTGGAGATTTATGAGCAAGGCAGAAAATTCTGCTCAGTTGTAGTGAGCGTCTCATAGCAGGCAGCATCACAAGGGTGGGATCCCATGTGGAAGAGATCATACAGCGAGACAAAAAGCCACAGATCGGGGCAGGGTCAACTCTGCTCCATCAACCTTGCTTCCCCTATAGCAACCCACTCACGCAGGAACTAACCAGGATACTGCAAGAATTACATTAATGCTTTCTAAGGGTGCTGTATGCTGTCATCTAAACACCTTCTATTACACCCCATTCCTTAACAGTCCCACCACCTACCAGCTGCACCACCCTGAGGACCGACCTGTAGCACACGGGCCGCTGGGGGGCACATCCACACCAGTGACAGTACTACCCGGGCGATCTACAATTTTGATGCTATTTCTATTAAAACTCCAATAGTGTTTTTACCCCAGAAATTACAAATTCTACCTTTAAAATTGTATGCATTCTCCAGAGACCATAAACAGTTAAAGCAATCTTGAAAAAGAACCAAGTTTGGGAACTCCTGTTTTCTGATTTCAAAATTTACTACATAGCTACAATAATAAAAATAGTGCATTTGTGGTATAAAGACAGATACATAGACCAATGAACAAAACAGATACCCAAGAAATAAACCCACACAAGGGTGCCCAGAATGTATGATGGGGAAATGATAGCCCCTTCAACAAATGGTACAGGACAAACTGGATATCCACACGCCAAAGAATTAAATTGGACCTTTATTGTGTGCTGCTCATAAAACAGCTAATGCAAGATGGATGAAGGACTTAAAGTAAGAGAGGAAGCTATACATTTCACTGAAGGAAACAGAGGAAAAGATTGTGACACTGGTCTCGGCAATGATATGTTGGATATGACACCCAAGAGGACCAGCAACAATAGTAGCTGGGGGTATAGCTCAATGATAGAGCACTTGCCTAGCATGTGCAAGGCCTGGGTTCAATCCCCAGCATCAGGCCAAGATGGAAGATGAAGTAGAAGGAGAGGAAGAAGAAGAAATACAAGTGAGACTAGATCAAACTAGAAGGCAACCTATGGAATGGGAGAAAATGTCTGTAAACCACATCTGGTGAGAGATTACACATAGGAAATTCTTAAAACTCACTGTCAAACACAGAAGAACACAACAAATACAATGCAATTTAAAAATGAGCAAAACGTTTGGATACACATTTCCAAAGACACACAAATGACAAACAGGTATATAAGAAGATGTTCATCACTGATCAGCTGGGAAATCCAAATTGAAAGAACAACGAGATATCATATCATAACATCCCTGGTAGAATGACCATTACTTAAAGGTAAGGGAGGAAAGAGGAAAGAAAAGAGGGAGGGAAGAAGGGAAGGAAGGCAGATGTTGGTAAGAATGTGGGGAAGTTGGATCCTTGTACACTGCTGGTGGAAATGCAAAATGGTGCAGCCATTATGGGGAACACTACAGCCGCTCCTCAAAATATTAAAGTTAGAACTATGATATGATCCAGCAATCCCACATCTGGGCCTTTATCTAAAAGAACGGCAATCAGGGTCTTCATTTCCCATGCACTTCCATATTCATTTGCCATAGCCAATAGCTGGAAACACAAAGCTCCATCAATAGATGAATGGATAAAGAAAATTGTGTTATACACACATAATCAATATTGCTCACCTATAAAAAGAAGTAAATCCTATCCTATACCACAACATGGATGAACCTTGAGAACATTACACTAAGCCCAAAAAGCCAGTCACAGAAGGACAAATACTGCATAATTAAATAAAATAGTCAAGCTCATCAAAGCAGAAACTAGAACATTGCTACTAGAGCAGGAGAATGAATTGAGGAGTTGTTCAGTGGGTAGAAGGTTTCACTCTTGTAAGGAGATGTTCTGGAGAGATCTGTAACTAACAATATTGTAACGTACTTAAAATTATGAAGATGTCAAATTATGAGCTGTGATTAACAAACATGATGAACGTTTAAATTTTTAAAATTTTAAACAGTAAAAGACACATTGCCAGTTAGCCCCCCTCCCCAGTACTTGCCTTCATTTTGAGCACACTTATTCCATCACTCTTGCCACTGTCTGAAGCAGTTCTGGAGGTCCTCTCTCAGGGCTCCCTGGAACCCTCGCACTGTTCCACTCCCCAGTGAGGCCCCACTACAGTTTCCAGATCTGCTGGGGCAACCACGCTACAGAGCCCTGTGGAGTGCTTCTCTGGAATTTTTCTGCACACAATGACACACCCTTCCCCTTTCTCATTTTTCACATGAATATTCCTGAACTGGAGCTCCAGAGTTTCACTTGATCTTTTCAAGGGTAAGAAACGTCTCACGTATGAGAGACAGTTCTTTTTTTGCCTTTGCAGCATCTATTTCCCCTGTTTCTTGTAAAAACATTTACATTTTCTAAGGGAGGAACTTTATTCCTTCTTTCCGAAGATGGGGCTGAATAGAGCTGATTCAACCTTGGTTCCAAGAATGGTCATATGCCAAATGTTGGCCAATCAGAGCGTGTAATATCCTGGCCTATGATTGGTTCTCACAGGGGCACATCATTCCACAAAGCAAGTACAATGCAAATCTAGAACTTATGTTGAAACCATCAGGAAAGGAAATCCCCCTTTTACTAGAAATACAGACAAGAAAGTAGACTGTAACCCTGTGCAACCAGCCCTCTTATCATGATGAGAAATACTGTCTGAAAATGCCTCCAATCCTAAAGTAATAGACGCTGATAATATTAATGACATAGCTTGAACCTTTAGAGCAGTCATCTGTGCCCTCAGAAAGCTAACCATAAGATTTTTTTGTTTCCTTAACCAACTTGAAATAAGTGATTCTTTTTCGTAAGTAAAATACTAATTCATGCTGTACTCTTCCCTTTATATAAGTTAGAACTTATCATTGTTAAATGGCAAACAGGATGATTTCTATGAAGTTGAAAGATAGGTAAACTAATCCAAGGTGTTACATTGTCTGTGGGGGATGGGGAGAATGCTTAGACGGGCCAGGTCCCGCTGATGCTTTCAGTGTCAGTAAGGTGCAGTTTACATGAGTTAAGTCAAAGCTTAACTGTTCACTTAAGATCTGTGCTTCTTACTGTACATAAACATATATACAGTTTTTATTTTTATTTTTTATCTTTTCAGTGCCAAGGACTGAGCCCCAGGGGATTGAGCATGTAGGCAAGTACTCTACCACTGAACTACCCTCTCAGGCCTGCTTCAGTTTTAAAATACTGCAACTGGGGTTCTCTCACCCCACTTCCCTGCAGCCTCCCACACATGCTCACATAACCTGAGGGCTCCTGAATGTTAAACTCATCTCCTCAGGCCCTAACCAGGGCCTTGGGGCTATGATGGAGACCATTATGAAGCAGCCCCAAGCAAAATTTAAATTAACTAATTGTCTGTTTACGTCCAAAGCCCAGCCTTGTCTGGAATTGGGCAAAGGACTCATAGTAAGGGGTCAGTAAACCACTAATTCCTACTAAAACCTGTAATGGCAGATGAAGCTGGAAAGCCTCAAAAGATAAGATCACAGCCAAGGACACCTGGTTCTGATCTCAACTAGATAAAGACTGTAGCCTCAGGCATCTCACTCCTGGGTGGATTAACTTAATACCTTACTTGGAGAAGTCCTCGAGTGATTCTGCCCTTCTTTAGTACTCTCCTCCCTTCCTCTGATGACCAAATAAATCCAGATCACCCAGAGAAGGTTGTGGTCTTAGCCCCAAGAGAACCTCAAATTCTGTGAGTGGGCTTTGATTGTCCTGGAGCCCCAAAATCATTCCATTCACCTCTTTTTATTTAGCCTTTGCTGTACACTTGTTTGGGAGATTGTGGACCTGATCAACCTGCAATAACTAAGGGATACTATTAACCCAATAAGGCTTGTGGCAGTTTTAGGACAGCTGCAGATTCTCTGATCTTCTTCTCATTGAGGGATGGGTCTCAGTCACCCACCCCATTAGACTGTGACTGTTGAAACTAATCTAGTCAGTGGCAGTGATGAGGTAGGGCTTTGGTGATTAGTGGCTTTGCCTTGCTTGGTTGTATCCATACTCTCAGAGCCATGAGCCACCACGTAGAAGTCCAAGCCTCCAAGCCACCATACTGGGGAAACCATTTGTTGTCACTGCCAGCCCTCCTAGCCTGGGTGACACATGAGAAGGCATCTTAGGATGGATATTCCTGCCTGGCTGTCTCAGCTCCCCCTTTCTGGGTCCCAGGCTAACATTAGGCACCAGCACAACAGTGGTTGTTTCCTGTAGCAATTTATGACCCAGCAACAGATTCCTGGGACAGGACCCCTCTTCCTCTAGCCTTACCTCACAACATCCACAGACGCAGCCCCCGACTTGAAGAAATCCGTGGAGTCTTCAACCTCTGAGACATTTGGGAGGATCCTCTGCCAAGCACTCTGGAAAACAAAGCTCTATGAGAACACACTTCCTGGGGTGCCACGGCAGCAGCCCCCGGATGTACTCACTGATGGCTGGGTGCCAGGCTGGCCCCTCTGTCCACTTCAAGATGCTGGGGGGGGGGCTGATAATACTCAAGTGGTCACTTTTTAGGGGAAGCAAAAGGCACAGTAGCCCAGGCCACTCTGAAAACTAGCTGCTGTCCTCACACCCAGTTCACCTCAAGGGTCCCTGTGGCAGTCTAGGCAGTGGGAAGATGGTGAGGGAACAGGAGGGCTCAGCTATTCCTGAGCGCCTACTTCATACACGACTTGGTCTCTGGATTTTGGTGTCCCTAGCATGACACAGACATGAGTGTTGGAGCATGGGGACGAGGTGAGGGTGAACTGAATGTAATGACTGGCTCAGGGACTTGGGTCTTATACTGAGATGTAAAATGGCCAGTGTCCCTCTCGCTAGGGCCTGTGAAAGGCAGATGAACCAACCCACTGGCCTTGTGGGTGAGTGTGGAGAGGCCAGTGAAAGCTCAGTAGTTAGCACCTGCCTATTCGCCCAATAATTATGCCACCCAGCAAGTTAAGATGGGATGACTGTTCTTTGGGAAGAAGGCATGGCAGGACAAGCACCAGGAGGCATGGCAGGACAAGCACCAGGAGGGGCCCCAGCCATGCCAGACCTGGTTATTACTCTCTAGCTGATGTCTAGCCTGGGATCAGCCACTGACGTAGATGGAGTGTGAGGCTAGGCTGTAGGCCCAAGGTGCTACTCCAGGCCCAGTCCTTGAGACCTCTCCTATACTGGTTTAGACCTTAAATGTTTCCCAAAGGCTCATATGCTAGATTGTACAACTGCAAGGTGGTGGAAACATGAAGAGGCGGGGCCTAGTGGAAGGAAGTTAGATCATTGGGGATTTGCACTTGAAGGGAATGCTGATACCCTGGCCCCTTGCTCCTTCTCTTTTATTTTGTGCTTCTTATCTGGCATCAGGTAAATAGTCTTGCTTTTCTGTGTATTCTCTGCCATGATGCTTGGTCCTGCCACAGGCTCAAAAGCAACAGAGCCAAGTAACCAAGAATAGAAACCTCTAGAACCGTGACCCAAAATAAGCCTCTCCTCCTTGTAAAATGATTTCCTCAGATGTTTTGGCAGAGAGATAGGAGCTCACTAACACGCTACCAGTACTCTCCCTGGCTGTATTCTTTTCTTCTGGGAAAAATGTCACAGATCTGGCCTTCCCACCCTGAAGATGCTACTATTCCTGAGATCTGTACAGGGACACATTCAAGAAGTGCATTTGTCCCTCAGCTTATAGGAGCTGAGACAGCCAGGGTCACTATCAGCACCAGGCTGAGCCACCTGTTGTGGACCACAGGACTTCTGCCTATCTCTTCAGGCCTCTGTTCAAACTCTTACCTGCTGGTGCTGCTTTCCTACCCTGGCCCCCAGCTCATGTTTAAATCCTAGGCATGCTTCAGGACCCAATTACTTTGTCGTCTCTTTCCTGAAACCTTTCCTGGCCATGCTGCTGGAAACTGTCTTCCTCAGACTTCCACGTCTGAAGCCACTTGTTGGCCTGGGTATGCTGCTGAGTATGCTGCGGGCTCTTATCAGATGTAAACGGAACCTCTGCGAGGCTGCAGTGAATGGGTCACCAAATACACTCAAGGCACAAAGCCTCCTTCAAGTTAAGCTTCACTGCTGATGAGCATGGCAATGCTGGTGGCCCCTTGAGTTTCTGTTTCCTCATCTGACCAAAGCTGCATACGGATTCCATGTAGAGCCTGGACTCAGGAGGGTAGGAGAGTAGGATGCTGCCTACTGCCTTCCTCAGTCACAACAGGCACATGGTAAGTTCTGCTGCATGGTTATGGGTGGGGCTGCTCCTCCAAGGGAACACAGACTGTCTCTCTCCTCCTCTTGGCTGTCTCCTCTCTACCTATCTGCCTCTAGACCATACGCTCTTACACCCAGCCCATCCGGGCTCTGAGTGTCACCATGACAATGATCTGACCCATGGCAGACAGGGCCACGCTGCAGGGTGATGAAGGCAAGCGTTAAGTTCCTTTGCTTGTTTTCCCTCATCAGCTGTGGCCCTGCCCCTCAGGTCTCAGTTTCCTTGGCTGGGACCCAAAATTAACAAGAAGTACCGCTTCAGAGTTTAAAAATCAAAGATGCTACTATTCCTGAAGTGCCTTGAGATCTGTACAGGCACACATTCAAGAAATGCATTTGTCCCTCAGTGTCCACAGGTGATTAATTCCCAGGACCCCCAAGACACCAAAATTTGTGATACTCAAATTCCTTATATAAAATGGCATAGCATTTGATACAACTTACGTGCATCCGCCTGCGTATTTTAAGGCATCTCTAGATTACTTCTAATACCTAATGCAATGTGCTGTGTAAGTGGTTGAAACAATGACAAGAAAGTCTGTACATGTTCAACACACATATAATTTTTATTTTAATTAATTAATTAATTAATTAACTTATTTATTTTGGTACTGGGAATCAAACTCAGGGCCTCGCAACTGCCAGGCAGGCGCTGTGCCACTGAGCTACCTTCCTGGCCCACACATATACTTTTTATAGAAAACACTGTCAAGCCATGGTCAGTGGATCATGGGTATGGGCAGCCCACTGCATCTCTTTTTCTCATAATGAGTCTTAAGTCTCATTCCAGCATGTACAGGGTTTGTGACCCAGACTGAGTTCCTAAGTTCTCACATGTGCTATCCTTTCTACCACTTACAGGGTGGGGTTTGTCATTCCCAAAATATAGACACAGGGTTCTCGGGTAGCTGTTTAAAGGAAACATCTTTTGGCTCAGTCCTAGGTCTACAAAAGATAGCCCCACCCCCAGCCCACTCCCAGTGCCGTTTATAAGCTCCAGAGGACTGTTTGTCCAGCTAGCCTAGTAACCTCACAGTAGGCACGGAGTCAGGGCCAGGGCAGCTTTCTGGAAATATGTTTGGAAAGACTAGGATTGTTGGTTGTTTTCTGCGTGCTAGGTATGGAACCCAGGGCCTCTGCATACAAGGTAAGTGTTCTAGTACTCAGCTACATCTCTAGCCAGGAAGCCGTTTAATATCTGTCTCCTGGGTTTTTCTGCAGCCTGGTTTTCTTATTTCTGACTAGCTTTAGAATATAGAGGGTATGAAAGTTGGGAGCTCTAGCCTTACATAACATAAGACAGGAGAGGGAAAGAACTCTTTCCTCCCAAATTGGCTAGAAAAAGGGAAGAATTTCAGCATGACCAGAACCACTGAACTACGTCCTCCAGCCCCAGTAGAATTTCTTAAAAACAGATTGTTCAGCTTTCTAGTAAGGAAGTTGCTGGCGCCCTGTGCCTCTGGGCCATGCTGCACCTCGTGTCCAGCCCTCACAGAACCCTCCCTCTCAGGGCCATGCCAGCCACAGTCACCAGCTGCGGCCTGACGGGCTCACCTCTGTCCAGGATGGCTCCTGGCCCTGGCTTCCATATCCTCCTGAGATGGTTCCACAAACGCAAGGAACTCCCTACTGTCCCCGCCAACACCCTGGCTTTTGCTGTTCCTTCTGTCATGAAGGGCTCCCCTCAGGGTTTTTTCCTCTACCCAGGTCTCAGCTCCAAGTCCCCTCAGGGGAGCCTCCGCTCACCCTCCTTTCTAATGCTGACCTCCAGCCTCAAGAGACTGCCCTCTTACCGCCCATCATTCTACTTAAGGTGGTATTCTCCACCTAGGAGGGGTCTATTGGGATGCGGCGCATGCTAAGCCACGGTTGATTACATGACTATTTAAACAGACGAATGGCCGAAAATGCACCCAACATCATCCATTCAATTAAGCTCAATATCATGAATGACTTCCAAGGAGAGGGAGGCAGAGGGAGCCGGAAGCGCTAAGAACAAACTCTGGGATGTGACCACCAACTCAACTTCAGGTTGGAGAGAGTGAGTCTCAGAGAGGGAAGCACCCTCAGTATCACATGGCAGCAAAGGTGGATGGGATCTCAGGTACGTCTGATCCCGGAGCCCACGCACAGCCAGGATACTCCCTCTGGGCAGCTTCTATGGACAGGGTCCAGTAACACATTCTCATCACAGGCCATGGGAGAGGTCTCTGGCTGACCTAGTCCAGGAGTTCCTTTCTCATTTATTTACTACTGAAAGTGAACTGCTACAAGTGTCAGACACCCAGTTCATGAACTCCCAGGCTGCAGGTACAAAGGAAGGAGGGGCACAGGGATGCAGAAAGCCCCCGGGCAGGACAGGACCAATTTTGTCCTGGAGTCTGCACATACACCCAGCTCTATGGACTGTGACTCACACAGTACATGCGCAGTACCCAGCCTGCGCAACCAGCCAGCACCCCAGCAGGTGCCCCTTACCCGCACGGCCTCTGCAGTGGCCAGCTCTGCCTCTGTCAACTCGAGGGCACTACTGGCTGCCCCCTTGAAGAAGTGTGAGGCTGGGATCATCTTGCCGTCCTCCAGCTGCACGTTCTTCACCAGTAACTGAAAAAGGAAGGATTTCACGTTCCTGTATCAGGCTGAGGCAGGATGAGTGATTCAACCAGGGTGCTGTGCTTGGAATTCCATGCTTTCATGTCAGTCCTCACAACCAGGAGGGAGCTGGGAGTCCCAGATGGCAGGATTACAGCACCAGAAGGACACTATTCTAGGGAAATTACAGAACTTATGTCCTTCTTTGATTCTTAGTTTTGTCACCCACCCTATCTTTTTATTTTATTTTATTTTATTTTTTTGGTACCAGGAATCAAACTCAGGACCTCGCACTTGCCAGGCAGGAGCTTGTGCCGCTGAGCTAAATCCCCAGCCCTGAAACTGTCAAAGGCCACACCAGAGAGAACTGGAAGAGCTCATTGTCCAGCAGCACCTGGCACAGGGTCTGCTACATAGTAGGCTCTCAGTTGTTGTTTTTTTTTTTTTTTTGGTACTGGGAATCAAACTCAGGACCTTGCACTTGCCAAGCAGGCGCTTATGCCACTGAGCTATATCCCCGGCCCTTAACTATCCTTTTAAGTGTAATAAATTTATTATTTCTATAAAAAGGATCCCTGCTCATAAAAAGCTAACTCAGAAACTACATTGAAAGACAATCAAGAAAACAATGAATCACCCAACAGCTCCAAGGAAGCCCAGGGAGATGCTTGTCTGAAACATAAAGTGGAATGATGAAAAGACCAGAGAAAGAATCTAGTGAGCCCTCTGGTTTACATCTTTAGGGACAGAACTTCAGGTAGGGCCTTCATCGGCCTCACATCCAGCCTTTGATGTAAGGTCAGCCTGGATGCCTGGTGTGAACTGCAATGGCTGCAGAATGTGGCTGTAAAATATTCTTACATCTGCCTCAGATTTATTGAATTTAGTAACAGTCATATGAATTGTTTGGGGCCTGTTTGTTCATAAATAGTTGTTCAATAAATGTCTTTGTTAAGGGACAGGAAAAGTGCCCCAGAAAGTGGCAGTTTCATATGAACTCACAGTAGACTGCCTGTCTCTGTTTGATAGCAGTGGCACTCTGAACAGCACACTCTACACACGCCCGGACAGCTAGGAAGCAAGGTCCTCCACTGACCTTCCCCCTGCTTTGAAAATGCTTTGGAGATGGTAAGAGGTTCCCCACATTGTACCAAAAGTAACCCCCAAGCAGCCTTCGTGGACCTTGACAAATATATATGGAGAGGTGGATTACCTGTAGTTAACCCAGGTCTTACTTTAACTTGGTCTTAAACACCAAGCAGGAAAGTATAATCAAAGAAAATTAGAATAATGGTAATAAAAAATCAAAAAGCTAAGCTAGATATGAAAAGGGGCTCCAAGCCCCCCACAGACCATACGGAGCAGCATCCCCCGGAGCTGTGCCATGGGCCCCTGACCAGCTCCACACCTGTGGATTTGGCACCCCGGGCGTGGCCATCTGCCAACTCTGAGCCAGCTCTGTGTTTTGTTTCCCCATTACAGGGTAGAAGTTGGCCAACCAACTGGCCAACTTGATCATGGACAAGACCAGTGTCTGGAGGCAGAAGAGAAGACGATGTGGTCAGCTGCTGCCCATCAAGAGATAACACATCATGCCCCTGCCTGGCCATGACCATCGATCAATTCCAAGCCAGCTACATTTTGATTGACACTGGCATGGGGCAGGAGAGGTACAGACTAACCAACCAACCTGATCCTGGACAAGGCCAAAGCCCAGGCAGGGAAGGTAAGCCCAGAGAGCCCACAGACACAGGGAGAAAGAAAAGACCTGGCCAGCAGCTTTGGGAATTCCAGTGCTACCCACCCAGTGAGTGGGTGAGCAATAACCCAGGGATACCATTATGGAGAGAGTGTGGGATAGACAAAGACCCTCCTAAGAAGTTTAAGCTTGGGCCAGAAGGAATCCCTGCCCTCTAAAGTGAGAAACTAGGTCAAGCAGGTGTTGACATTAAGTCCAGCAGTCTGCTTGAAGCCCCATCCCCAGCCTACATCCCGCAGAGACTAGAGGGCTGATTGCTTTTTCTGTCTCACAATGTGAGCAAGGACATGCCTCAGATTGGATGGTTATCACACCCTGGGGTGAATGCACAGAAGGCCCTCTGTCCTAAAGCTAGGAAAGGATTGCAAATCCTGGAAAGAAATGTTCATTCAAAAACACAGAGGAATTCTTTGAACTGAATCTTTTTTTAACTTTTAAATTTTTTATTTCTCTTTGTCTCTCTTTTTTTTGTGGGAGGAGGCTTGGAGTTTTTTTCTTTTTAACTTTCTTTTCTTTCTTATCTTTATTTTTCTTTTTCTTATTTGTTCTTTTCTGATTATTTTCTAATACTGTTAATTTCTTTTTACTCTTCAACAGGACCCTCTGACTTTTCTTTTTTTTTTTTTTTTTTTTTTTTGGTGTTTCTCCGGTACCGGGAACTGAACTCATGACCTTGCGCTTGCCAGGCAGGTGCTTTTGCCGCTGAGCTAAATCCCCAGCCCCCCTCTGACTTTTCTTTCCTCATCTTCCACTGACTACATCGCATTGATTTTTCAAATGTTATGTCTTGCATTCTCCACTTCCCCACCCCCTCTACCTTTACTAGTGTAACTGTTAAGCTTTATAAATCTTCAGGTTACTAGTTAACTCTATGCTCTCACTGTTAAATACCGTTCTACTGCTGGAGGAGGTAAAGTTGTTCCATTTAGTAGATATTTACTGTAGGTCAATATTTGGTTTGTCTTAGTGTTTGTACTATGATTAGATATCTCTTTTCTATGGTTAAAGTACATTATTGCTTCACAGGGTACGTTAATATCTAGTTTGTCTTTGATGCTATTATTATTGCGGATTTTATTGCTATAGCCAAGGTGACACAGTTGTTGCTATTAATTGGTTTTCTCTGGATGCCAATATCTGGATTGCCCTTGTATCATTAACAATACTGTGACTGGGCACTGGGCCAAATACACTGCATCCTCTCCTTCAAAATCATCAAAGGTGGCTGGATCCTGGGACACAGGCAAAGGCCAATAGTTAACCATGCCTTGAGAACATCGCTGAAAAGCAGACATTAACTAAAGAGGTCTCCATGCTATCACCAAAGCTTTCCACTATAATCAACCTTCAAGCCTCAGCACAAAAAACAAACAGAAACTTGAGACAACAAGGCAACAAAATGCCCCCGAAAGTCCTAACTACCCCAAAGCTGTTCTATGGGGCATCAACAAGGAGGAAATCAAAAGCCCAAGGGAAAAGTTTATATATTCTTACATTCTACCTATTGTACTTACTTGGGTAAACGTCTCAAGACATATAGGTCAATATTAAAGGTAATTCATCATTCTATGTTTAATTTTTGATACTTGATTATTTAAATTGCTTATAGCATTTACATTTTCTTAACTTTCCTAATGAAGCTTATGTTCACCTCTGCTATTACTAACAGTGTTGTATATATATATTCCTGACAGCTCTACAGATGTGTCTTCTGTATTACAAAACCTGTCTTCACAAATCAATGCAGTGTCAGATTCTGCCTTTATTTTGATTCTGCTTTAAGCCTCAGTGACACGCTGATAACAAACCATATCTTCCTATGTCTCCTTTAGATCAGTCAGGATGAGACTTTTGATCCCTTGCGAGGTAGGATCAGCCTCCCACTTCAGCCAGGCAGTTAGAAGAAGATGAACACATAGCCCCTCTGCATCCCTTAAGAATAAGGAAGTAGAGTCTGGGGAAGAGAGTGAGATAGGATAAAAGAAACAAAGGTGGAAAATGGACAAAAAAATCATAATTTAAAAAATACATATTGCAGCTTCAGGACTCAAAACCAGTTTAAAAGATTACTTTACCTTCCCAAGATGCTATAAACCTGGGTCATTCCTTTCACTTGTAAATGGGCTTTGGCTATTCTTCACTTGCAGAACAGCTCTTTCCCCATCACCAGACCCCCTTCCTCTGCAGAAGAGGACCACCACCTTTCATCTTCTCTTTCCATAGATTTACAGGTTCCGTGGATTTCCACCCCAAAGTCCCCATAAATATACCTGGCTGGGACTACGATGCACCTCTCTCTCTGAAGGATCTGCACCCTATTTCTTTGAGTGTGTACTTTTAAAATTTTGCCTAGTAAATCGCTTTATACCTTTTTTTAAAAATTGAAGATGCTCTGGCACTTTCTGTGGACCGAACAAGGCCAGTCAAAGTCAGGAGGAAGACCTGGGACCTGCTTTACCCAAGGTTCTCCAACCAGGCTGCTGCCTTTGCTTTGCTGTCTCTGTGGATCTTGTGGCAGATGCAGTTAGTGTCATCCTCCCTGGGCCCTCTGTCCCTTTAGCTGGCTTTACATGGAGTCCCCAACCTCCAGCTTCTGCAAGGACTGGACACTAGGGACCAACACCATACCCTAATCCTGTATCTCAATGCCTTTCCACAAGACCCCAGAGGCAAGGAAACCCAGGCACAGCTGATATAGAGATGTGGGGGTATAATTGGCAGATGCAACTCATGATTCAGAGCTTTCCCTGGGATCACATGAAACCTAGACTGCGCCTGAACCTGGGTCTTTGCTTAGCTTTTTCCTCTGGACAGACTTGCTGCCCTCACTGTCTTACATGCTTTTCTGAGAGCATTCCTCTGTGAATCACTAGCATGAGAATTCCTGTCTCAGATGCTGCTCCCAGAGAACTTGATATCAAACAGATATTTCTTTGATATATTGTATTTATCTATCATGAATACCTAAAACACCCAGCTGCTGTAAATCACAGACATTAGTGGAGGCCTTGAACTCTCTGGTAGCAGAGTGTGGCAGGGTAGATATCAAGAGGAGCCAATGTTAGTCCCCTGTACAATAATCCACATGGCATTTAACCTACAGCAATGTATCCAGGGGGGCTGCCTAACTCTGTAAAATGCTGGGGACCCCTGCCTGTCCTCCATCTCTCTGTATTCCCAGCAGATGTGATGGAGTGGGAAAAAGTAATGAGTGTCAACAATATGTTGTCATGGCCAAGCAGTGGGTCATGTA